GCCTTTTGAAATGTTTCTATCTAACTAACTTACTAACTCAATGGAGTTGAGTCCTTGAGAAGCCGCCAGTCACCCAGATACTCAAGAATATCCAGAACTTTTATGGAATCTGAAAGCTTATTTACGTTTTTCACAAGAGCCCTCAGCTGCTCTGTAGAGCTAGATTAATCCAGTCAAACCTACCCTATCCTATTTCTCTGAGATCCATTTTAATCATGTTCATTTTCTCTAGCTGAGGTTGTTTATCCAAAGAATCCATCAAAGTCTGAGACCATGTTCAACATTTCTTAATAGAATGTCTTTTTTTCTGGTAAGGAATTCTTAGCTCCACACCCAACTGTCAAGCTAAAAGACCACCCATTTTCAGCTGTCTGCTATACTTATTCAATATAGTTGCATCTCCCATATCTGGAGGCCATCTCCTCTGTCTAAAACCTGAGGATGAGCCATTCCATGGTGATAAGGGACCCACTTAACACAGTGTTGAAAGGTTTCATAAATTATAATAAGTAATTGCTTACAGCTTTAAGTTGAGAGACAACCAAATTAAATTAAAAAAAAAATTGTAAGAATGGGCACAGATACCCCCTTCCCTTAACTCCCAATTTGTATTGCTAGGCATAGGATTTCAAAGGTATGCATTACTGCATCTAATATCCATACCCAGAAGTTTCCCAAGATGTGGGCTTACTCTTTTGCAGGGTTGGGAACTGCTTAGCTGTAAACAAAAGGACAGAAGTTTGTACATCACAAATTTGTAACTAATTCTGTTTCCATTTCGTTCTTATGTTAAATTGAACAGAATGTGTTAGTTGTTGAAAATAGAAATAACATCTTCACAGAGTGATTATGAAGAAAAGTAGAAAAGTGCATCTATTCCTTATATTTAGAGAAATGGAGTTGACCCCCTTTCTTAAATATTTAGATTATGTGCAGGAATTTTTATCTATGAAAGAAAGATTGTGTGTTATCAGTAGCATAATTCATTTGGAAATGTGAGTAATAAAATTAAGATTTTTTTATATATGTTTTTCCAAACATAACATGAAATGAAAATATCATGAACCACTGAGTCTAATGTGCAGAAAGTTAATATGAGGCAAGAGGTGCTTGTCTTGTTGATATCTATAATTTATGTTTGAAACACACTTCAATGGATGTTTGGAAAGATGTCAGGTTTGTGCAAATCTTGAAGTAAAATTCAAATTCCAGTTGAGTAACGGCCCAAATTCATATTTTTTCCATAAAGATATAGTGAAGGTTTCCCATGCAAGTTTCCATCAAAATTCAATGGAAAGTTTAGAAGCTGAAAGACACAAGAGATGGGTAGACAGCAGATAAGGCATAGCATGTCTGTAATGGCACTTCAAATTGAACCATTACATCTTCCTTTTGCATTATTTAAAATTCATCATCATTCACCAATCATTCAACATTGTATAATATGAGCTACTGATATAGTTTATAAAAAATCTAAAATGAAGAAAACCATGAATTACTAGTCCTGTATGTTGTACAGTGCTAAGAGGTTTTAGTGCTTATTCCTGTCACAAAAGTTCAGCACAAATGTATGAGACAGAAGAAATTTATTTGTGTTTGTATTAAATGAAGATGAAGACCAGAAAGGTATGCATGTATGCAAATAATGCATTTAGAAAATATATGTACCTATTTTATTATATCTCTCCCATGTTGTTTTCATGAAGAACACTTAAATTTTGGAGTACATGGAATAGTTCATAAACTAGTCACATAATTCCTAATAGCCTATGGCTTTGAGTTGTTGTACTCATGAATCTGGAATATCTAGAAAACTAGTTGCACCAATTAAAGAAATCAGTTTGTAGCCTGCATGGGCAAAATCAACGTGTTGCACATCTCATTAACAAAGATCTAAAAGATGGAATGCTGTATACCTATAACTTTGTCATTTTATAGATTAGACATGCCCAAACTGTGGCTTATAAGCCACGTATGGCTCTTTTGAATCATTTTTGTGACTCCTGGGAAAAAAATATGTCAGTTCATTTTTTTACAAATGGATTAAATATAAAAAAAATTTCTGCATGGATAGCATTAATCTAAATACATGGCCTATCCATTCTACGTCTGCTTCTGATTCCTGAACTTGTGAAAATTATCTTGTGTGGCCCCGATGCACAGTAAGTTTGTCTATCTCTGGAGTGTGTCTTTGGGCGAGTCCCAGAGAATAAGGAGGGATCAGAACTGAGCACAATAAATCAGCTCCTCTTACATGCTTCTAATGTTGATATATTTTCCAGAAAATATTACCGTACATAATTTCATGAAGGCATGTAATATGTCTGTGCCAAATATATTATGTCTAATAATTTATATTGTTAATGTAAAGGTATCTGTTGATTATTTTAATGAATTGTTGCAGTCAAGTTCATATTTGGGAAGTAACAGGTAAAGCTGTCCCTGTAACAGGCTGTGGAGACCCAAAGGGTTGTGAGACATTGAGACTCCCACATTTTCTAGACATTCTGCTCACAGATGGCAGTGAGGTTGTCAGTCTTATGTGCTGGTCGCCTTTTACCTCCAGGAAGCTTTTTGTTAGGAGCTGAGTTGACCCTGGGGCCATAGTGTGGCTGGGAGGATTGGGTCAATTGAAAAATTCAATGACCTCATCTGGAATTGAGACTGTGACCTTCCAGCTTGGAGCATATTGCCTTGACCAAGTATGCTACCATCTGCCCCAAATTTGAGAAAGTGCTGAGTTAAAATCTGGGCCCAGAGACTGATTAACGTGATTGAGGTTTCCATTGTTTTTCCTCAATCCCTCCAGGGAAATGCCTAGTTAATACTTCCAGTTAGGTCACAGTTACTTCCTTTTACATCTTTTAGAATTCAATATTCACTGATCATCTACTGTTTGACATATAGCTTGAGCTACTGACAGAGCCATTATAGAAACCATAAATATAAATAAATAGATGAAATAGATTATTCTTATTATTAGCTATAATTTTTTATTACCAGGAAACAGAAATCACCACCATCACCATTGTGGTCTTTGTCGTCGTCATCATCATCAACATCCTCTCCGTTATTAGGCATAATTAAATCTATGACGGACACTGCAAAACATAAATCATTCATCATTTGAGAGGTCTTCATAAATTTCAGTTTCCTTCAGATTTATATGTTTTAAGATATTTTGGAATCATGTCAGTACTAATTTGTTTCCAGTTTTAGCTGTATTATTGTTTAAATTTTATTAACAAATGTCTCTGATTTTCTGTCTTAAATGCAACACTTTTCAAACATTTTGTTTAAATGTTACTGCATGTACATAATTTGTCTTTTAAACTTATTTTAAAACCCACAGTGTCCACTACATGATTTGATCATCATTGGTCATCATCAGGTGTCTTTAAAAACAGTTCTTTGGATACTGTTGTGCTTGTGTTTTTCTTCTGATGTAGGACATGTAGCCCCATCATACCTTCGTGTTTTTCATGTTGCTGCATGTCTTCTCCTGCTTCCAACATTGGAGGAAAAGCTCAAGCACAGAAGTCTCCACAGAACAGTTTTAAAAATGATGATGACTAGTGATGATTAAAACATGTAGTGACAAAGTGGTTTTTAAAATAAACTTAAAAGACACGTTATGTATATGTAGTAACTTTTAAACAGAATATTGAAAAGTGCTACATATAAGATAGAATATCAGAGACATTTGTTAAGAGTCATCTCTCATCAGTTCTGCTTATTGTCCATGATACACTACCATAAGATATTAGTCTAGCAAGTACCTTATCAATTTCATATTCATATATTCCCAGAAGCTAATGATACTTTAAATATATGATCTAGAATACCTAATATTTTGACAAAATTTACGGTTTTTGCATTCAGATCATCTTTTTAACAGGATATATTATATCCTAAATAATTAAAAATATTGATTTGTTCCAGTATTGTGTCATTAAAGCATGCTTTCTACTATTTGGGTCAGTATCTCTAAAAGCCATAATTTTAGTCCCTCCCCCTTCCAAATTTTTTCTCTATGGAAAATTCTACAGCTGTAGTATTCAAATTATAAACTGAGTGTTGTAGAACATCTTCATATTTGGTCTGAAGAGTCTGATTATCTGCAGATAGCCTAGTATCAATATTAAAATTTCTGTCAATTGAGATGTTTTCGTGCTGTTCAGTTTTCCTATATATGTTAATTGGTTTACACACGTGATGATTAATAATGGTGAGAGCCAACAGCTTTGTTTCACATGCATGTTAATTTATTTTCATTAAGAGATTTTGGGCCACATTCTTACTGCTGTTAGATTTTTAAGTTTCATATGTATCTGATACCAATTGACTGGGTATGTTATCTTCTATAAGCATTTAAGTATAGTTTGCTGCTCTTGACTGTCACATGTGTTTTGTAATCTATGAAGGCCATTTGGAATACAGTACTGAATGTTTTTTTCAAAAGATATTTGGTTCTAGAGAGAGATATTTGTCACAACAAGATCTTCCTTTTTGGAATTCATTTTTTCTTCTCCAACTTTATGTGTATAATATTTTATTAATTTATTTTTAACAATACTAGTCTTAGATTTCATAGCCAAAATTTAATAACCCAATATCTCCATGATTTTCCTGTTTCTTATTCCTCACTTTTTAGTGCTTTTTCATCCTGTAAAAGCCAGAACACATCCTGGCATACTGGAGCATATTGACATGTTTGTCAAAAGTTATGCTTCTGCTGGTGCCTTGTATGTTTTGGCTTACAGGGTAAAACCAAGTGTGAGAGTATTCAGAAACCTGTCTAAAAATAGGTACTGTCTTTTTTATGTATTAGTATCACAATAAAAGAGTTGTAACTCAGAATCATTAGGACTGAAATTACATGCATAAAAATTACATTTCTAAATATGGTTAATGCTATGATGTATTATGTTATATATTTTTTGACATTAATGTTGTTGTGATATATTATTATTTCCAATACATGCTTTATTTCATTTTAGGTGGACAGTATGAAAGCAAAGGTATGCTTGTTGGAAGTAATGCTGGAGTTATGTCGGTGGATTTTGACTCGACAGGGACTCTCATCCTTGGAGCATCAAGTGATTTTGCCAGCCGGGTATGGACTTTGGCAGACCAGCGGTTAAGGGTGAGTTTGTATTGTGTTCTTTGTTGTTTCCATTTCTTCCTTTTCTTGTCTCCCAATCTATTTTCTGAAATTATATTACTATAGTGTCTGTGAAACTGGGGCAAAATATTCTGTATTTCTAAAAATTTAACTGTCAACTGCTTTATTGCAGTCCAAAATTTTTGAATGGAATTGGAAGTTGAAAGAAAGGGCTGAGGTAACATTTAGTTAGACAGATTTGTTCCCAGTCATAGTTGGAAGCAGTTATTACAAGCTGGCAGCTTGTAAGATAAACAGCTCAACAAAAGTTGATTTTTGATGAGTGTATTACTAAAGATTATTTCTTTGAAATGAAATGGGAGCAACAGTTGAACAAATAATTCGTTGTTATTTTGTGTTTGACATTTCTTCTTACATTTGTATTGTGTAGGATACAATGATAGATACCATTTGACAGGCTTGTGACGTGTTCTGTGAAGAGTTGTCAGCAGAAGAAAATTATGGTTTCCCAATCACAGAAGCATGCAGTTCATATTATGACTTGCCTGCTTCAGTTTTAGTACAGTGCTTCAATATTGTAATGTCAGGGTGGCGAAATTACAGAAAATATTTCATAGACCAAATCAAAAATAAAAATATATTACATTAAAGCAGGGCTTTGAAACTATTGTCATCAATTTGGTAATGAATGTTACTAGATGTCTACCAGTCTAGCAGGTATTTTTGAGAAATCTTACTTTATGGCATCATCATGGTTGGGTAAATGTTGATTCAGTAGGAAGGAGGCAGAGGGAGCTTGCCTCAAAACTTTTTTCTTAACACAAGGCACCTTTCCAGCGGATAGTATGGCGTTTAGCATCTCTACCCTTTGCTCCTACTGCGATACTTAAATATCGGACCGCATTGCCCCTCCTTTTGCTTCTGTGGTGCTACGAGTATACTGGGAGAGCACGTCACTGTTGTTCATCATATAAAGGTAAAGTTGTCCCTGTGCTTAACTACTTAAGCACTACACCATGAAGGTGTATGGGGGAGTGGGTATATAGATCCACATTTTCTTGACCTCAGCACTATTTGGAGGTGAGCTTCACTCCCCGTTTGCTTTACTCCCGGGGAAAGAGCCCTCAGTACCCATTGGGTAGGAGGTTTGGTGAACCCCAGAGCCCATCTGGATGTCTTGGAGAAGAGAAAATTCTTGACCCTAGCAGGACTCGAACTCCGACCTCTTGGTCGTCCAGCCCGTAGTCAGTCGCTATACCGACTACTCTATGAGCGTATACAGCGTTTAAAGCGTAAGACCCTGGATATGGGATACGTAGAGACACTGGAGGCATGGCTGGTGATTGACTGTGTACTCACTGCTTTCGTAAACATCCTGAAGTTATGTCATGTCTCGTCACGGGTAAATGGCAACGACTGCGATTGGATACAAATCATGGAGTATGTGGAAGAAATGCCTGCCAGCAGGTTCATGGAAAGGCGCTGTTGTAGATGTCGCTCGAGTGCTACACTGGCATTCGGCTGTGGATGCTGAACCCGCTAAAGCTTACGCCTGCCCCCTGAGAAAACATTAATCAGACGAAAAGTCGAGTGAGGCGCAAGACTCTAAACCTATGACCAGTAACAGGAGAGTAAAAGAGAAGACTGTCACTTCAAACCAGCACTGTCAGTTACTACTAGGAACTTTTCGCGTTCCCGAGGACTTCTAGTGTGGTCAGCGGGAATTTCCAGCCCAAACCAACAGCTAACAGCGACTCTGAAACACCACTGGGAAGCCGGAGTAAAACATGAGAGAGGCTGCCTCCGTCGTGTTGACAACTTCAGTAAACCTTTACTTGTAGCTTGTCCTTCTAGTGCCCAGCTTATTGATACGTGGGACCTTTTTCTCTCCTTCACCAGTACGTCTTCATTGGGATATAAGGACAAGAATAAGCTTGTATTTTACAGTGGGCAAAATGCAACAAATGTCTACTGGAGTTCCCCCTCCCCCAAGAATATTTTTTTTTTCGCAGCTTCTTTGGGGTGCAGTACAACCTCCCAATGGGTAATCCCGATATGTTCGTTCACTTTCTGGTAGCTACGTAGTCACCGTATCCTGCTGTGAGAGTGAGAAAAACATCAGAGGCGCACGTGAATCATGTTTTGTTTTGCCCTTAACAGAATAAGGCGGAACACCTGCTGCTTTTACTGCGCTTCAGGAAACACGCGAAAATAATAAAATGAAGAACTTGTTTCAAAATTGCTTTCCTCAAATATCGTTCTTACATTCTGTTAATATCCAGTTTTGTCGTGCTCTTAAACACCTTTTCAGGGCAACTGAAATACCAAGCTCAAGATATGGAGTCTTAAGGCATACATCTGTTCTGTCTGTATGGTTAGGTTTGATGTTCGAAACTTAAAGCAATTAATTTTGTATGTACGCCCATGTTACATTGAAAAGTTAGTTGAAAGACCGGATGTGGGAAGAGCCTGAGGTAATTATAGCAGTTAAATGTTGGCGTCTCTGATGCCAGACTTTGTGGAAGTGGTGCGTATTTCAACTCTTGTGTTCATGGTGGAATGACCTACAAGGTTGAATATACTAACATCAAGGTCATTCGCTACCTATTAGGGTCATATTAGCTATAAAATACATGTATTAGTGCATATGAGAACAGAATTTCTAATTAGAGAAAAAAGCAGCGCCCATCTCACATTGAAGTCCGAGATTCCAGTCGTGTTTTACGTGTTTCGCATGTTCCCCTTTTTCAGTGTTTCTTTTTAGAATCGCCCGTGTAGAAGTCGATGGCCGTTGACGGTACTATAATACAGTAATCACAAAATAACATTTTATCGTGCNCGGTATTAAACAATGTATAAGTAATTCGTACCCTTAATTATATAATTTTGACGAGGGAAGTACGGTTACAGTTTTCACCTATTTTCCTTACATTGAAAGGAATAGCGAGTGGCCTTCATCTTACCCTTGCATTTGTGTGGGCATGTATTTCCTCTAGTAACTGTGTAACTAATTTGACTATTTTTATCGAACTTGGTTTGGAGGTCATGCCTGCTGAGATACTCTGCCGCCGTATTGTGCACGTTCTTTGCAAGAAGTGCATGAAATTAAAGTACATTGCGGAAGTCGTGTCAGATATCAGGCAGCATGTTTTATCTTCAAAACTATTAAAGTAATTTACTTTAAAGTTGATACAATTCGATTAACTGTGCAGAAATATACCCAAAGGATTCAAGGCAAATAATACAACCCAACCTACTTGGAAGTATTCCGTTATACGGAGGTGAAATATGGTCATTCACTGAAAATTGAGGAGTAAAACAATGGTGGTCGACCTAGATTGTTCAGGGTGTTTTCAGGTGGTAAGACAGAATCCAGTTAGAAGTGAAATATTATGGGAAGATATGGATGTTACTTCATCAGTGATAAACCTGGAAAATACAGCGCTGAAATGATATGGCCATATTGAGCAAATGGAGGAAGACAGATTACTGAAGAATATGTTGTGCAGGTCCCCTCCAGAAGGATGAGGAGGAGGAGGGAGGAGGAGAAGATGAGGAGGTAAACATGCATTGAAAGCGGAAAAACATTGTATTTTTTTTATTGCTAGTGGGGTGGGACTAAGCCCCTTGTAGTGCGGCCACTTCTGGCCTATTGTACCAGCCCCAGATGATAGGTGAGGGTGATTGTGGAGCAATTGGTGGAATGAAGATTGGCAAAGGAAACCGAAGTACTCGGAGAAAACCTGCCCCAGTGCCACTTTGTCCACCACAAACTCACTTGTCCAGACCCGGGATCGAACCCGGGCCGCGCGGTGGGAAGCCAGCGACTAACCGCTTGAGCTATGGCGCGGCCGAAAACACACAGTAAGTCTGTTATTAAAAACTGAAGTCGGAAGATGGAGACTGGGAGAACTGATTACTGTAGAAACGGAAAGCGAGAAGAGCGTGAAGGGATAATGCCAAGAAGAAGAAGAAAAGGAAGAATCGTGTATTGAAAGCTCAACATTGTACGTTAATTTTTTTTTTCGGTATAGGGCCAGCATGATTCCAACTTTATACGAACCTGAAACCTAGCTTCATCAGTCTTCTCTAATGTATACGAATTTGATACGCGACTTAAAGTATAGATCTTATTAAGATAAAAGAAATTAAATTAAAATGTGTCAAAAATATTACGTATACGCTTATACTTTGAAAGAATCTCTCTATGCATGGCTGGCTATGCCTTTATGGTAGACTTGTATTTCTGTCCTCGTTAGTAATTTGTAGCACCCGTTTCTGGCACAAGAATAGTGAGAATCATGAGGATGGAGATATAAATGCATTTTAGTCTTTTGTGCGTTTCACAAGTAACTAAATCTACGAAGCAGTATTCTATCTGAGAAGCTAGCGATCGGTCAGCTACTCAGGACATTCTCCGTTTTGTATGAAACCTGAAGTTTTAATACCGTGTTCACAAGATCTCAACACTAGTCAGTGACTTTTTAATTAGAAAACAGTTTCTGACTGCTGACGTCTGGAGTTTGGAATATTAGTCGAAATTAACCTAAAAGTAATGTCTCTGTTAAGTGGCCTCGTAGTCTAGAGTTAACGTTCCCACCTCATGACTCGTAGTACGCGGGTTCAAATACCCGGCGGAGGTCGTCGAATTTTTAACGGCGGAAAAATTCAGGGAACAAGTCCTCCGGGAGGGACTTTAAGCCGTGGGTCCCGTGTCGTAGCTTTACGGCACGTAACAGAACCTCATATCTCCAAAGGAGGTCACTGAGCCAAAATTAACGGACGTTTCCCGCCCAACAGCAGTCTCTAATACCTCTGGTAGATGGGGGAAGCATTATAGATACCTCTCAGCTAGTAGAGCCGTTCTCGCTGGTTGGGCGGGACTGATGGTAAGCACCAATACCGGTAGGATATAGAGACTGGTAGAAATCATAGAGGGAAGCACAGTGGACCAATGCAGGTCTCAGTGCATGGGGAAACCGACCCTCTCCAGTAACTAACTAACTAACTAATGTCTCTGT